TTTCAAAAGAACCTTTACATTTTAATCCATATTTATAAAGGTTATACTTTATTAGAAGAGAAAATGCACCTATTTCAGGTATATTTTTATTGCTGTGACGTTTTACATATAAACCAATTCCAACAGAGACAAGGGAAGTTATAGAAGACTTCCTTAGGGGTTGTTTGCTGTTTCAGTGAGTGAGACCATGACCACTGTGGCAGGGAGACAGGCAGGCATGGTACTAGTGCAGGAGTTGAGATCTTGGGTCTAGAGACAACAACCACAAGGCAAAGAGAGAGGGAGACTGATAGATAGAGGGAGAGAGAGAGACAGAGGGAGGGAGGGAGGGAGGGATAAAGGAGGGAGGGAAAGGACTCTGATTGCAAAGCAAGAAATTTAAAATCTCAAAGCCCACCTCTCTTGACATATTACCTCCATCAAAACCACACCTCCTAATCCTTCCCATCAACCACCTGGTTACCAAACTTTCAACTATATAAGCCAATCAGAAGACTTCTTAAAACCGCTTACGCTTTTAAATTTATTTAAGTAAATCTTACTACATAGCCAGAGCTAGACTTCAGTTTTCCCTCAAATCGAAAACTTTGAATTTTTTAATAACACCTATATCTGGGTATCAGTTCAAAAAAAAACTACAAATAATTATTATCCACCACTGTACCTTCTTCGCTTCAAATTTACATATCATCACAAAACTTGGCAGATTTTATAAAAAGGTTTTTATTGCCTCTGTGGCATTAATTTTATTTCACAGACTTTGCTCACTAAGATAACAACGTTAATATTTTCTTAAAGCACTTGTTAAACCTTTCATCTATTGTGACTTGTTTCTGACCTTTTGGAGAGGGCTTTTAATGCGAAACTACTAACCACTGTGCAAACAAACCATACCTTTGTAATTTCAGGGAATTCATTGACTTTGCTGCTAATTTGACTTTGAGTTATAAATGAATATATTCTAGGACACAATGTTCGCAAATCAAAACTTCAAAAGCAGTTTGAAAAAAAGCAGAAAAGATCTCTCTCTCTCTCTCTCTCTCTCTCTCTCTCTCTCTCTCTCTCTCTCTCTGCCTGTGGGTGGGTATCTACAATTAGGTATAATGTCTGCAGAGACTTGAAGTATCAGCTTTCCTCTAGCTACTATTTCAGACATCCTTCTGACACCAAACAATGGTTCTAGGAAACTAACTAGAATCCTCTGCAAAATCTTAAGCTCTATTTACCTCTGAGCCCTCCCTCCTCCAGTTCCAGAACTTTGAAATTTTAATAAGCCAGTTCTCATCAAATGTTGTGACAGAATATAAATCTTAATAGGTCATACTATACAGTAGCATATGGATTACTATTCTCTTTAAGATAAAATAGTACTTTTCCACTTCATAAAGTGCTCATCCTTAAAGATTTAGCTGAAATATTGTTGCATCCTTACTTTCTCCTAGCCGTTGTTATTCTTCCTTTCCCTTCATGTCTTTGCTACAGACATTACCTCACTTTGATTCCTCGGGTTCTGAACTTTTCTTTTTTTCACAACTGTCCACAGTTTCCCCTCCCTTCTTTCCTCTCTCCCCCCTCCAAAACCTCCCTTCCCTACCTCCTTTACTCCTTCTCCATTTCTCTTTAGAAAAGGGAGGGCATCCCATGAATATCAACTAGCCTATCTAGTTGCACTAAGACTAGACATCTCCTCTCCTATTAAGGCTAGATGAGGCAACCCATAAAGAGAAAAGTGTTAGAGACAGCTTCTGCTCTCTCTGTCAGGACCCCCACAAGAAGATGAAGATACAAAACTGTAACATATGTACAGAGGGCCTAGGTCAGTCCCATGCAGGCTCCTTGGTTGGTGGTTCAGTCACTGTGAGCTCCTATAGGCCCTGGTTAGTTGATTCTGTGGGTTTTCTTGTCTGTCATTGACCTCTGGCTACTACAGTCCTTTCTCCCCCTCTTCCACAGGATTCTCTAAGCTCCCCCTAATGTTTGACCATAAGTCTCTGCATTTGTTTCCATCAGTTGTGGGGTGGAGCTTCTCTGATGACAATTGGGCTAGGCAACAATCTATGAATATAGCATTATATTCATTTTATTAGGAATCATTTCAATGACTTTTTTTTGTCAGTGGTGTTTCATTCTATCCTAGGTCTCTAGGCTATCCTGTCTCTGGTTCCAGGCCCTCCAGGCACTATCAAGAATGGAGTCCCTATCATGACATGGGTCTCAAGTTGGGGCAGTCATTGGTTGGTTAGTTATACAATTTCTGTGACACATTTTTAATGCCAATTAACTCACTTTGCATCAGTCATAAGAATTCTAACCCTACGGTTCCATTCACAGACCATGATTATATTCTCCTGACACATTTTCATAGAGATTTAAAATAAACTCACTCATAGCACAGAACTCAACATTCTACAGAGCCTCCTATTTGGACTTAGTTTCTTTTTGGACATTTTGTGATTGAGACACTGAACTGAGAACTCTCAACGCCAGTAGTCATAATTCCAGCATCGTTTCTCTTAAGTTTATGTTCTCCTATTCACCTTCCTTAGTAGTCTTTATCTAGCTTTCTTCTTGATTCTCAGCTGGTACATCTGCTATCATTCCATTATTAATTTTAAAAGATCACATTTTGTCATAATTTTTAATAAGCTTAAGATAAAATTATTAAACAAGAAGATTAAAATTATTAAGAAGATCCAGTTCTTCATAAGTAAATATTTGTAATGTATAAAACAATAACCTATGGGTGTGTTATTGGACAGAACTCTCTTAACCTGGGTGATTTTGTAAGTTTAAAAGTTAATATTTAATTTATTTTATATCAAAACTGTTACTCAACTGAACAAACCCTCAATCTTCGCGGAACGGCTTGGAAATGCACATCATGGTTTCTGAAAAGTGGGTTGTGGCAGTTTTTCTGCTGCAGCTTTGCTGGGCTGGCTGTGGCTTCTGCAGCAAGGTCCTTGTGTGGCCCTGTGATATGAGCCACTGGCTGAATCTAAAAACCATCCTCGAGGAGCTCGCAGCAAGAGGACATGAGGTAACAGTCCTGAAATACTCCAGTATCATCATAGATCAGAGTAAACTTTCTCCACTGCACTTTGAGAATATCCCTGTGCTACATGAAAGTGAGATTGCTGAGAAGAGTCTAAATGAAATGGTTAATCTAGCTGTGAATGTCATTCCAAACCTGTCACTGTGGAAAGCAGCAAGAACATTGCAAGATTTCTTCCTTCAACTGACTGGAGTTTTTGAAGATATTTGTAGGAATGTGTTGTACAACCAGACATTCATGAACAAGCTACAGGATGCTAAATATGACGTAGTGGTTATAGACCCTGTCATTCCCTGTGGAGAGCTGGTGGCTGAAGTGCTTCAGGTCCCTTTTGTAAACACACTGAGGTTCAGCATGGGCTACTTCATGGAGAAACACTGTGGCCAGCTTCCAGTTCCACTTTCATATGTACCAGTTGTCATGAGTGAATTAACAGACAATATGACCTTTACAGAGAGGTTGAAGAATACAATGCTTTCATTGTTTTTTGAGTATTGGCTCCAGCAATATGACTTTGCGTTCTGGGATAAGTTTTACAGTGAAACTCTAGGTAAGAGATTAACTATTTAGTAGTATTTTGAAATTTAGTAGCTCATTATCAGTTCAAAGAGAAGTGATACACAGATAAATATCAATGGAATACAACATGATTTGTTTTGTTAGATACAAGAAGACAATTAATTCTAGGATGTGGAATGTATATTTTAAAAACCTATAGATCTCTTGTTGGTAAACAATACAACTGCTGAAAAAATAAAAAAACCTTTTGTGCCAGTAATAATATGAAATATAAGGTAATTTTATGATGAAAAATACTCAATATGCAACGCATTGCTTCTGAATTTTATTCTAAAATTATTTGCAACTACCGATTATTAGTCTTAAATTTGTACCATTCTTTTGCCAGTTGAGGCACCTATGTTTTTATACATGTTGCACATTGAGGATGAGTCATGAAAGACTGTGGTTAAAGCATCCTTGGCAGTACAGCACAATCAAGAATTAAATTATTAAATATTTTCTTGCAATCACCATGTCTTTCTGTTTGGTATTTAATGTATCATTAAGATTCTTTTTTATTATACATTTTCTTTGCTTATATTTCAAATGTTATTCCCTTTTCAGGCATTCCCCCAATCTCCCTATCCTATCCCCCTGTCACTGCTTCTATTAGGGTGTTCTTCCACCCACCCACTCACTCAATACCACCTCCCTTCATTGGCATCCCCCTACACTGGGGCATTGAGCCTTCATAGGACCAAGGGCCACTCCTCCCATTGATGCCCAACAAGGTTATCCTCTGCTACATATGCAGCTGGAGCCATAGGTCCCTCATGTGTACTCTTTGGTTGGTGATCTAGTCCCTGGGAGCTCTGGGGGGGCCTGGTTGGTTGACATTGTTGTTCTTCCTAAGGGATTGCAAAACCCTTCAGATCCTTCAGTTCTTTCTCTAACTCCTCCATTGAGGACCCCGTGCTCAGTACAATGGCTGGAAGTGAGCATCTGCCTCTGTATTTGTCAGGCTCTAGCAGAGCCTCTCGGGAGACAGCTATATCAGGCTCCTGCCAGCATGCACTTCTTGGCATCCATAATAGTGTCTGGGTTTGGCGACTGTATATGGGATGAATCTTCAGGTGGGGCAGTCTCTGGATGGCCTTTCCTTCAGTCTCTGCCCCACATTTTGTCTCCATATTTCCTCATGTGAGTATTTGGTTGGAAATATAAAGTACTCTAACAAACTTTTCACCATGACTTTGAATGGAGACACTGTGTTGTGACAGTGTGAAGGGGGACAATGTGATATCACATTCACAATGTGAATGACAATGATAATCAGAGATAAATAGTGCCATGGACCACCCCAGTCAGGTATGGTTGTCCCTGGGACGAGGTCCTCGAAGGCTAGATAAGTGAGGATTCAGCGATGACAAACAGAAACAAACACAGATGCAGTATGAATGTGAGTGTATTTTGCAGCTCTCAAGCAAGGGTTTTAATACATAAAAAAACAAGTATTACAACTCTGAAAAGATGTATTCAGTGAAACAATCAGGAATAGGACAGATACTCTCATTTGACACAATAAAGCACAAAAATCATCCAAGTATTACAACTCCGAAAAAGTGTATTCAGTAATCATGGATAGAACTGTTAACATCATTGCTATTTGGCACAATAAGAATCAGCCTAGTATTACAACTCTGAAAGGGTGTATTCAGTGGTACAGTTATCCAAGGCTAGCGGCATATATACAAGAGCAGGTTAATAAATTTTTATGGTTAGTCATTGTTTAATATCTAGTGCCTGATTTTTTTTGTAAATCTTCAAAGCATAAATTTAAACTATTTTAATTCTTTTTATTTAAGGCTTTCTTTACCATATATCAAAGTCCACTTCTGATGACACACATGCAGCCATATGAAATTTTATTATTGGGAAAGTTTTTATCTATCACAATACTATTATGTAATTTTATAAATGATTTATGAAGTAAAACACTGGTTTTCCCAGAGATAAGGTCATGGTTAGTGACCCCATCTCAAGGGATGGTTTCTTACACATTTTTCTTGCTTAAGATCTTAGCCTAGGCTATCAGGAACATCTTGGAAATAAGAAAAAGAATAAAAAAATAAGTAAAACAGATAAAGTGCCATGAGAACTATGGCTCAATATTTTGCTCCAGCCAAGAGTTCCACAACTGGTTCCAGGAGGTCTCCTTCTTTTGAAGTTTTCACCTCAGTCTGTGCAACTTGTCACACAGATTCTACTGGGGTTGCTGTGACAAAATGACACACAAAGATCCAAGGTAAACTGATGAGGACCTCTGCTGTTCGAGTCATGAGTGACACTTAGTCATACAGCAAGGTCACACTGAGAGAAGCACAAATCTTCATATATGACACCAAAGTTTGTCACTATTTTCCCTGTAATTAAAAAACATCAGTGAACTTTCATTTTATTTAAGTTTTACATCTGGTAGGACAATTGGTTGATTGATTTACTCTCCTGAGGTGGCTTATATAGCTTCTGTGAGAGCGAGCCCTCAGAAAGGATGATTTGAGGTCAGTTCCAGTTGGATTTCTTTTCTGTTTCATTCTTTACATTCTGTTTCATTCTTCTTTACATTCTGTTTCAGAATTGTAGCATCTCTCTATCAAAAGGGCTTTTCAGATTCTGTGAGTACCTAAGGGCAATAGCAACAACTCATGCTGTGTTGGGCATCTCCTGGACTTTCCTGGACAAGCAACTTGAAAGAGGTGTTCCATGGGATTTTGGTTAGATAATCTCTGATTCTTGCAGGAGCTGGGGGGCATTATCACATTGTGTGCTTTGTGGCATAATTACATGCATATATCTGTGTGCAAATACATCTTAGGTAGTTTTGAGTAAGCTTATAAATTAATGTTTCCCTATCACTACTTTCATTTGCTGTCAGTTGTTTCTTGATCTTAGCCTTTGCACCTGGGATAAGGATGAAAGCAAAATAGTTTTAACTTTCACTTTTTTTAGTTGCTAAGGATGCCAAGCACTTTTAAAGATATTCCTATGATGGATTTGTGTTTCTTTGGAGAAGTCTCATTCCACGTCCAGCACTCAGTTTTATTTGCTTTGCTTGTTTCCTTGATAGATTTTCTTTTATATTCTACATATTATTGTTACCGAGATGTATAGCTGTAAACTATTCCAAATCCACATTCATGGCTTCCCCTCCACTCAGATTCTTCCTCTCCTTTTTATTTTTCAGGTCTCTTTTGTCAACTGAAGTGCTTAACTTTCTGTGCTTATCTTTGTAGGATTTGGCCTGTTTTTTTTTTCCTAATAGTTTCAAGTTTTGTAATTTTCATGTTGAGATCTTTGATGCATTTGGAGATGACTTTGTACAAAGGTAATAGATACAGGTTAATTCCACTCTTCTCACACTCAGTTCTCTCACCATTTGTTGAATGTGTGTATTTTTGGTGTGCTTGTCAAAAAGGAAGATGACTGTCGTTATATACACTCATGTTTGTGCCTTCTATTTGGTCTCTTACTTTGAATTTGCCTTTGACTGAAGGCGTTCTCAACAGGAATGATGTAATTTGATCTGCAGATGGTATCATTAGTTGAATATTCAGGTTATCCTAAAAGTTGGAGGGCAAAAACACAGTGTGAATGTTCTGGCTCTATCAGAATCTGTTTTTCAACTCTGGAACCTTCTGTGCCTTTTTGTAATGATACCTGCTTACTGCAATGGAGTAATGTAGATGCCTTAATTGAATATATTGTAATGCAGTAGGTAGACTATAGACCTACTTCTCTCACACTTTGTAACTTTCAAAGGAACTTGGAAAGTTCTAGAAAAAAAATTCAATTAGTAAGTGAATCAATATTGGTGTATCAAACAATCTCACTCTAATGGCACAGCATACAAAGACATTTTAATGTTTTGGCAGCAGACTGAATAACAATCTGTGGAGATTGGATGATCTGAAGTTTATAGTTCTTTTAGTGTACAAATTTTCTTCTTTTTAGTATCTATCAATGAGAGACACTGTAAGAAAAAGTATACACAAGTCAAGGTATCTGCCACTAGTAGGATCTGAGTTACCAGATGGATGTTGTGGAGTCTGTTGAAAATCCAACACCCAGGACATACCCAGTTTTCTTAACCAGAGAAAATGTATCTATTTGAACAGCAAAATGACAAGCCAGAAATTCATCACAAACTTGGGAGCTGATACTGCTATTAACTCTTCTGGGTAAACAGCTTTTAAGCTCAAAAACTATAAAAATGTATAAGATAGCATTATTAAGAGATAAAAATCCACAAGCAGGTAGGTCTTTGAAGATTACACAGAGGGAACAATGGCAGGCTGGCTTCGTAATAATAGGTTTCTGAGTCAGAGGTTTTGTAGTTGGAATGCAGAGGGAAGTGAAAGAAAGAAAGAAAGAAAGAAAGAAAGAAAGAAAGAAAGGAAGAAAGGAAGGAAGGAAGAAATAAGGAAAGAAAGAAGGAAAGAAGGAAAGAAGGAGTGAAAGAAAGGAAAAGAAAGGACAGAACACATCTACATTCCATTTCTGCAAGATGCTTTCCATTCAAACCCTAGCAAATGGGGGACTGGCATAAGATGTTGAGACTCACTCCAAACTTCATCCTTTCAATGAACTCTGCTCTGTGACTTGTCCTTTGTAAGATTATATATTTCTTTCCTAGTGGAGAGAATGCAATTCACAATACAGAAAAATGCTAGATAAGTATCATCAGTTTTTGCTCATTAAAGATTCCAGATTCTGTAATTCTTAATAATCACTAAGCAAAAAAAAAAATTTCTGAATATACAACACTGGAATGAACAAACTTATTATTTAATTTTTTAATTTAATTGTTTTTATTTTGAGAATTTCTTATAAGACTACAGTATTTAGAGCAAGTCTATCATATGTGCCTCCTCTGACTCTTCTGATGACACCCCTACTCCCTCCAAATTCCTGGCCTCTTGTATTAAAATTATTTTTGATTCATATATAAATACATACATACATATGTACACACACATATACCATGAGTAACCCACTTAGTACATTTAGTATTGCTCATATATTTATGTGTTTAGGGCTGACCAATTGGTAGGGGATGATATACATGGGAGTTTATCCCTAGAGAAGACTGATTGTCTCTCTTGGCTTTCATTTTAGAATGGGTCATGTGAGATTTTTTTCCCATCCATATTGGCTTATCAACTGGTGTTGTCATCATGCAGTTGTTCTTCAGATGAGCAAATATTGAAATTTAATTGGTCCATCTTCCTTGTTGTATAAAAAAGACACTATTTTAGAGCAAGGGTCTTGGTCCTCTGGTTCTCACAATATTTGTCTTTTCTTCTATGAAGTTCCCTGAGCAGTAAAGCGTGTGGTAGTTGTAATGTACCAATTGGTGTCGGGCCCAAAGGTCTATTAATATCTACACTTTGACTGGAAGTAGATTACTGTAATATTCCTCTGCTGAAAAATATGTTTATTTTCTGAGAGGTGGAAATGACATTTATCTGTAGATAGAGGAATAAATACCCAGAATGCAACTAGAAATTATACAGGTTCAACAACGTAGCAGTAAGAGATTTTCCTCTGGTTGACCTCGCTAGCCATGAACAGTTGGCTAGGCTTGTAACATAAGATCTAAATTCTCTGTTACTGAAAGGGTCTTAAGTCCAACTACACAGTGATTATCAACTAATAAAAGTGTCATTATTGCATTATTGGGGATATCTTGTAAGCTAGACATTGTCATTCATAGGCTTTATACATTGGTTCTAATAACCCAAAAGGAGATTTCTCATTCCTGGCACTGGTGTTTTTATGAGTCTATGGCCCTTTGGGGGACCATTATAACTCCATTTGATTTAACTTCATTTAGACTACACAAATGTACACACACACACACACACACACACACAAACTATTCTATTGTGTGATGAAACATCATGATCAAAAGAAATTTGGAAAGGAAAGGGTTTATTTGGCTTACATATCCTGGGTCACAGTCTTTTGAGGGGAGCATTGCCTCGAGGCAATGACTGAAGCAGAAGTCAGGATGGAACAGTGCTTAATGTCTTGCTACTAAGGGCTTGCTCAGCCCACTTCCGTATATCCTCTAGGTCTTTCTTCCCAGTAGTGATAAAGCCTCCACAGTGAGCAGGGCTCTGCCACAATAATCATCAATCAAGAATAAATCCTAAGGGTTTTCCTAGAGGCCAATTTGATATAGGTATTTATTTGCTCTTCCCAACTATGTCTATATTTGTGTCAAACTGACAGAAACCAGCCACTGAACTCCAGCCTTCTTATGGTGCATATTTTTTCCCCATAGCAAACCTGAGTGCTGATTTTGTTCTCTCAACCTTCTGTATGTTTTCAAGGAAGACCCACCACATTCTGTGAAACTGTGGGGAAAGCTGAGATTTGGCTAATCCGAACATACTGGGATGTTGAATTTCCTCGTCCATATTTACCAAATTTTGAGTTTGTGGGAGGACTGCACTGCAAACCTGCCAAGCCTTTACCTAAGGTAGGTTTATGACAGAGACGATCTTAATTATTTTGTGATACAAAAGCTGATTTTTTTCCTTTAAGGTTAATAACTTCAGTAGCAAAGATATTATTACTATCTAGTGTTCTATCTACATGAGAATTTCCTTTCATCATCATAGTTACTCTTAGATGAAACTTGTTGGATCTTCCAAATTTTACTAAAGAATTTAGGATTGAGAATAAGATGTGGGGGTGATGTATTAAAAATATCTCTGTGCCTGTATTGTGAGGAAAAAAAGAGCCACCAAGAACACAAAAGAGCCTTTAACTGTGAGCATAGCCTTTAACAGCTGAGCCATCTCTCTAGCCCGCCTACAGCCTTTATTATGCACCTGACAAACCTGTGAAGAGATTTTTGTGCCCAACAGCTTGAGAGCAGAAGATGCTTTCATCAGAGAACTTGCCAAATTTTTAGGATTTAATCAGTCAATGAAAGCAAGTGTGGAAGGCCTTCAGAATCAGGGCAACTCAGATTAGGATCAGGTGTTAACGGGCATGCTGACCTTCAGTGTTGTAATAACTGGTAGAAAAATTAGCCAGAGTTGACAATGATGAGTTTGCCTTTCAACTAGATACGGTAAAGAACCAAAGATTTACTATTTCACTGAAGAAAACTTTTAAGAAGTCTAAACAATAAGGCTTTGGTGTAAGTTGAGAAATTCAGATAACATATGGGGCCTCTATGAGTATAAAGCCAGGTGTTTATGAAGTAAAAAAGAAAATAATATATTTTTTCTTAGACCTTGTATAGAAAAAAGTGAATGTCGGGTATGCTGAAATGAAAATCGCTGAGAAAGAGAAGATAATAGGTGAACAGAGTAGGAAAGAGAACTTTATCAGTTGAGAATGAAGAGACAAATACACATTTAATAGAATTTTCATAAGATTGAAGATTACATGGTGTTTCCTGGGGAGTTCTGGATTCCTGTACAGGCTGTAAAGAGATTATTTAAATCTAAACTTTATTTTAGTAATCCAAATATGCTTTTCTTATAAGCTATATCTGTCACCAAGCTTAGCTGAATACTGCTGTATAAGATTTTATGAATCAATACCTAAATGATATATAGATAGATACAATACATATACGTTGCTTTCTAAGTGAAATGCACACTACACTGTTAGATTTCACTTACTAGTGTCTCTGCATATACAAAGCTCCACAAAACTGACTAGATTTTATTTTTTCATGAGAATGTGGGGAGGCTTCATTCAAATTCATGTCTTTTAACAAAATAGACTTTGACCAAATAAATTTCAGTAATGACTTTCACCAGTTTTGGGTATATAAAATATGGAAAAACTAACACTTGCTCAAATATAAATCCAACATTATTTAGGTAGTATGGGTGTCTCTATCTGTGTCTGTCTGTCTGTCAGTGTCTGTTTCTTCTATGTGTGTGCCTGGAACTTACTGTGTAAACCAGGCCTTCCTTGAACTCACAGAGATCTGCCTTCCTCTGCTTCTAGAGTACCTGGATTAAAGGCAGGTACCTGTGTGACAGGATGGTGCATGTTTTTATTAAAAAGAATGTTATGTTTGCAGGAAATGGAAGAATTTGTTCAGAGCTCTGGAGAACATGGTATAGTAGTGTTTTCGCTGGGGTCAATGGTCAAAAACCTGACGGAAGAGAAAGCCAACCTCATTGCTTCTGCCCTTGCCCAGATTCCCCAGAAGGTTGGTACATCCCCTTGTGAGATCCAGGGGAGCAGAGCAGCTTAGAGTGGAGCCCAGAGAAAAGCTGTCAGGGTTCTTTACAGATGGAAGCTGAAATCTGTTACTTAGTGAGCAGAACTGACATCAGCTTTCAGTAAATATTGATAGAACATACAAGTGCTGGTTTTAGCCACATTTGGTCATTTTCCTGCTAACTCTTAGGTCTTGGGGAAATCGTGTTTTATGGTCTTTCAGGTTTGTATTTCTTTTATTCTTCCTTTATATATTACATCCTGACCGCGGTTTCCCCTACCTCCATGGAGTCCACCCCGTCACCTCCCCTCACTCCTACATCCTTCCCATTTCTCTTCAAAAGGAGAGCAGACCTCCCAGGGATATCAACCAAAAATGGCATAATAAATTACAATAAGACTAGGCACAAACCTTCATAGAGAACTTGAAATCCTGTGGCTGGCACTGAGTGTTAGCAAGACTTCGACCATGGATTAGCAAAGTGGTCCACAGGAAGGGAAAGGTTACACATACAACAGAGAGAAACAAGACTTAAGAATAAAAACTATAAATTTTATTAATATTTTACCAAAGCATACTTCATGGCAATTAGAAACCTAGGGTCTCTGATTCTTTCCAAATTGAATATTCTATACTTTAAAATACAGACTTCCAATATTGTCAAAATATTAATTTTCCAATTTACATTTAATAAATTTTATAAATTTAATAAATAGAATTCTATATTTGCTATATACTTTTATTTATACGATGTGATGAGATTCTTTATATGCTAGACTAAGTACATAAAATTATATGAAGTATGCTAACAACACTTCTTAAAACTAGGGTTTATTTCTACAGTGTTCTTCTACAATATTTTACCTTTTAGTGATACGAAATTTTTTCACTCCACAGAAAACATCATGCAGCAAAATGTTAATTGTTAATCAATTAACTAATATAGAAGCAGAGAAAAACACACAGAGAGAAACAGAGAGAGACAGAGAGAGAGGGAGGAAGGGAGAGAGGGAGAGAAAAAGAGAGAGGGAGGGAGAGAGGGAGAGAAAGACAGAGAAACAGAGACAGAGACAGAGAGATAGAGAGAGACCAGAGAGGGATGAAGAGGAAAGGACAGAAGCAGAAACAAAAAGAGAAGGGAAGACACAGAGTCAAATAAGAAAAACATGTGAAGGGAAAGAAGAAAATAGTCACATAAATAGGAAGTAAATTTACCACAAGCATTAAGCCTAGTTATATTTTTGGAAAAAGGATACATTTCAAACATGATGATTAGGATGACTAGATCGTGTGAAATAAACGTGTGAGACATTCGTGTTCAGAACCCAATATTCTGATTAATTAAAGTAGTTCTTCATGTACATTCTTATTCTGCCAGCTTTCCCATAGTAAAGATCAAGGTGGTAACTATTACTGGACGCTGTTTCGAGGAAGTGGGTACGAATAAGTTTACTGTATCTCTTAATTTTTCCAAGTTGCTACAAATATACTATCTTCTCAAGTCTCACCTAATAAGTATAGGCTATGTTCATTGGAAATAACCCTGTAGCCGTTATACAGCCTCGTTGTATGTTTTTAAACTACAAAATTACTGCATTATCTTCAACAGGTTTTGTGGAGATACTCAGGCAAGAAGCCAGCCACATTAGGATCCAATACTCGACTTTTTAATTGGATTCCCCAGAACGATCTGCTTGGTAAGAACTTGGGTGAGAAAAGCTCCAGAGTCAGGCAACTGACATCAAGTCGGTTGATAATATTGAATAATTTAAATTTTCATATGTCTCTTCTACTGTGGAGACAAACTGAAATAGGTTTTCATTAAGTTAGTTTTGTTTTGGTTTGGTTTTGGTTCGCAAAAGAGCATGCTCAGTTGAGACTGCTGAGAAGCAGTGGTCATCAGATATGATCGCCCCAGTGATTATTACTCAGAGAAGAAGGGGTTAATTCTAGGGAACCAATGTCCCATGTTCCCAACCTTTGGAGGAAGCATTACCTTCTTCAGTGACTCACACTATGCATTTGTCTGCCAATATGATAGCTTAAAATCCACACTGACTTGTCACTCTGCCCCTCAAACAGGACACCCTAAAACCAGAGCTTTCATTACACACGGTGGAACAAATGGAATTTACGAAGCCATTTACCACGGGGTTCCTATGGTTGGGGTTCCTATGCTCGGTGATCAGCCTGACAACATCGCTCACATGGAGGCCAAGGGAGCAGCCGTAAGAGTCAAAATCAACAAGATGACAAGCTCAGAGTTTCTCAGTGCCTTGAGAGCAGTCATTAATGAGCCTTCGTAAGTATTACAGCGTGGAAAGCCCTGCCAGCCATTGGTTAGGTCATTCTGGATATTTTCCAATGTTTTATATTTTATATTTGTCTTATTTTCAAACAGAATAACATAAAACAAATGCAAAAAAAGGGAGAGAGAGAGAGAGAGAGAGAGAGAGAGAGAGAGAGAGAGAGAGAGAGAGAGAGAGAGGGAAACATTTTTTCCCCATTTCTTTTCTACTGGAGTCAGTTCCTGAAACTGGGAAAAATATTTGCTTGAAGATTTGTACGAATCTATGTTTGTAAAATATAGTATGATCACATAAATTCACTTGCAGTTTCAGGTTAAGAAATAAATATATAAACACAAAGATGCATTGTTTAAATACAGGATGGAACTGATAACATACTCAATATTATTTTTCAAAAATAATATATAGCGTTGTTGTGTTTAACAACAATTGCTATTATGTAATAGTTGTTTCTGAATAAGTGTGGCATGATATTTTGGCTGTTAGAAAGATATATTTTAGGAGATAATATTAGGGTTAATCGATATTTCTTAGAATAAGCTACTTTTTTTTTGCATAAATGTTGACATAGATTTTGCATTAGACTTTTACCAAGTTTTTACCTGATGACAATTTGGTTCATTTGATTAACTGTCAGAGTGGCTGAATTTAATGATTATTTTAAACATTAATGTATACAGCAGCCACTAAGTCCGTTTGATTGATGTATAAAAGAAATAATGACATAAATAATTTTAGAGAGCTCGCGCGTGTGTGTATGTGTGTGTGTGTGTGTGCTTGAATATGTACAGACTAAAATAGTATTTAACTTATAATAACTTGATGTTAGTACTAAGCCACATAGTGCTTCTAAGATTACCTGAGAACATACGGCATAGTGTTTTTATTCCATTATCTGATTCTATAAGACAACTAAAAATTTCAATAGGGAGTTGGGAAGGGGGCATGGTGTAAGTTGTTGCTGTGCACCTGTGTAGACCTGAGTTCAGATCCTCAGTGTTCTCGATTTGTCTGTAGTCCCTGAACTTCTAGAGAGAAAGGAGAAGTAGAGACAGGAGAATCCATAAAAGCAGACCCTCTAGGCTGGTGTGCACACTAATGAGCTACAGATCCTTCTTAAATAAGATAGAATTTAAGGACTAAAACATAGCCTCTGACCGCTCCATGTGTGCGTACCATCATGTACACTTTACATGGAAAGATAAGGAAAAGAAGCAAAAGAGGGTACATTATAATTGTACATGTGATAATTGTATTAATTAGTCAGGATGTTTTAAGAGTTTTATGCCTAAACATTTAGTGACTAAAATGTGAAACTAATTGCGCATGGTCTTACCTTGCTTATAAGACAAGAAACTTAAAGTTTAGACTCACAATGTTTTTTAAGAAATATACGTAAATTTGAAATTTAATCTCTAAGTGTGAGCAAAAAATATCTTGTTGGTAAAAAACTTTGCAATATTAGTATTTTGTCACCAATACAATTTGTTTAAACTTCAGCTGGATGACCCTGTGAAACTATATTTTGACTCTGTCTGAAGTTCAGTGAAATAAATAAGTCTTTTGCCTTTTTCAGTTCTAATATTCTATTTTGTTTTTACACTGAACCAAGAGCAAGGCATATCCACAACAGGAAATTACAGTGAGTGTGGGTTCTATAGATAAAAGGCCTAGAATCCAGTGTTGTTTCTGTCCAATAGCATAGAAGTCAGCAGGCCACAATGTATATGTGACTTCAACCCTAAGGAGGAGTAATGATCCAAGGAGGGCAGTGTCTGAAATAATCATTCTGAGGCACTAAGGTGAGATCTGTCACTACAGATACCAAAAGAGTCACCAGGTTGTTAGCAATCTCCACTCTTAGTTTTCTGGATGGAATTCAGGTATTTGATTTTATCTCCTCTCTGGAGGACACTCCCCTGTGTAACTAACATTCCTAGTTCTTTTAGTGCTTTGTATGAGTACAAGAAACACTGGGCCCCCAACACATTATGGAGTGAAAGATCTTTAAGCTCTAAAATGACTGACTTATGCTGATTGCCTGTTCTCTGCATCAGTAACGTAAATGACCTAGATGCTAGTGGTCATATATACGTGTGTGTCCCCCATCTTTATCTTAAACTGTCTTGGGCACTATAATTCCTTGATATCACAATTCTTTTAGAAAGATGAGAGTATTGATTTAATACTAGATGTTACTTTTTTTTTTTTACATCTGCATTTGATCACATTGTCTTAGGAACAGATTGCTTCCACAATATTTCCTTTAAACTCCTGAAGATCTCCGAAACCAAGGAAGCCCAAGAAAGTATTTTCTAAACTTACATATGACTTGTAGCTTGCGTAACATATCAGATGTTCCATAAACAAGCAACAAAGTAGTTTCTGTTCATTTATATTTTAGTTATAAAGAGAATGCCATGCGGTTATCAAGAATTCACCACGATCAGCCAGTGAAGCCCCTGGACAGAGCTGTCTTCTGGATTGAATATGTCATGCGTCATAAAGGAGCCAAGCATCTTCGTGTGGCAGCGCATGACCTCAGCTGGTTTCAGTACCACTCCCTGGATGTGATAGGGTTCCTGCTGGCCTGTGTTGTGACTCTGACATTCATCATTACTAAATGTTGTTTGTTTATGTGTCAAAAATTTTATATGAAAGAAAGGAAGAAAAAGGAGAACAGAAAGAAAAAGAACTAGGTATTTGGCAAGTTTGGGGAAGTTCTGAGTGACAGTTATACTAATTGTAACCACAAGAAGCTTGTAACCACCTGCATTAGACCTGTTTTCAAATAAGCTGTTCTGTTTCAGACTGGAAATAAATGTAAACATTTAACATGATTATGAACTACTGATGTGTTCCATTCTTTTATCTTGTAGGCATTCTCCTCTCACTCTCCTCAGATATGGAAGCTGTGACTTCTAAATATATTCTATAGAAATGAAGTGGTGAAGAACAATATGCTAGCCCTCTGGGAAGGCACATAATACAAATGTCATTGATGTATATCAGGATCTCTTAGAGTCGATGTCACAAGCCTATCATATTGTCTAAGAACCATCACAATAATTTAACATATTATAAGATGGTCTTTTTTCTAATAAAAATGAACTTTTCTGTTTTTCTAGTGTTACAGATATTAGAGCATGAATTCTTTTTCATTTTCAAA